TCACAAGCAGCATCCATGTAGATTGTTGCACGTCACTCACGACGCAGACAGTATTTGTATTCAATCCCAATTTCCTTCAACCTGATATAAGAGAGAACTCTCGTCTGCACCAGGATGTAGGACAGAGTCAGCTACAAGGAAGCCAACACCATGTTTGATTTATAGTTGAACAGGACAAACTGTAAACTTGGTAATGTAAACAAAACACTCTCACACTGGTTGTCCTCATGATGATAGTGTCAAATGAACAAATTATTGATAAATACGGATAGCTTCACACTGGCTTCACACTGGCTTCAACTGGACTGGACTTGTGCAAGGCATGATTGTCGGGTTGTTATAAGTACAGTTTCAACTCATTATTCATGAAAATGCAGTGGTTTCATTCAAAGTTGCCACATAACTAGAAACTACCTCTATAACGAATTGGCGGATATAACAAACTGTTTTTATTGTCTCAGACATTTGCTGTATATATCATGTATATGCTTATAAGGAACTACAGTTATAATGAACTAAAATAAGAGGTCCCTTTGAGTTTGTTTTAACCGTCGTTTACTGTATGTAAAGACATAACAGTCAAACGTTATAACAAGAACTCACACATCAAACGCAAATGGAAAAAACTACAAAGACAATATGTCTGTCAAAGCAGCCATTTTTTTAAGTTTGATGATTGATGAACTGTTTGTTAAGGTGAGCTAAAAATATATTCATGATGAAGCATTGGCTATTTGACATCCCAAACTTATGATCACATCTGATAAGTAACAGGAAACTGATGAAGACTGTTTGACTGTTTTTACAGCTAAGTTCAACTTAGTCCATGAAGCTTTATGTATGTGGCAAGTCCCCCGGCCAGCTCCCCAACATTGCTGTACAGGGCTAGAAAAATCCACTCCTCCGCTCCTATTGATGAGTGGTAACTGATGTCGGGCAAGCTAAAATTATCAAATACTCGTCCTGACGGACAAGCAGATACTTACAGCAGTTTAATTTATATTTGTTTTGATGTGCGATATATTGACACGGAAATCACGGCCATTCAGTCGATCGATATCTATGTCACATATAGCATTAATAATTAGGCTGAGGTTTGTCTCTTGATGTATCTTTGCGCAGGCTTTGCGCTGAATCCAGTCTTTATTTATTAATGTAAGCGGCTGGTTGCTAACTACCCGACTAATTCGGCTTATCCGCGGTCATATACGGTAAACCAAAATGGCGGATATGAGAAAGTTTTTCTCGTCGGAGGGTTGTGCCAACAAAAAGTTGACTGCACAGGCGGAGAAAGAAAACTTAGTCAAAAACAATATGATACACAAAAGCGAAAACGTGTTGTACAATCTGCGTGGTTGAGTGAATTTGAATGGGCAAAATTTGACGATGATGACAGCGAGTTGTATTGCACTGTCTGTCGAAAATACCCCAAACTATCTGATTCCAAATGTGGACTCTTAACTGGTTTTACATCATAATTTCAGAAAAGAAACTTTGAATTTCACGCTAAAAGTAGGGAGCATATTCAGTGCTGTGAACATGATAAATTTTTTTACAATCCCCAGACTGCGCAGTTTGCCAAGTCAATGCAAAAAGTTGACGAAACAAACAGTGAAGTTTATGAAAAGCTATTCACAACAGCCTACTATGTTGCAATAGAAGGGGAACCATTTTGCTCTACAGAATCATCTCCAGGAGTCTCCTCTTCCACAATCACCCTGACAGAGTGACAGGCTGATGTGAAACTTTTGCTCTGAACTTTGGGGTCTACAGTACTGTTTATTGTAACTCCCCTGCAGCTTCATTTAATTTATTAATATCACACTGACAGTGACAGACTGGTGTGTCTTTCATCATAACTTAACTGTTCAAAATAACTTAACTTATTATTCCTTAATTTATTCAATATTGTCTTACTGTGGAAATAAAAACACAAAATAAATCTTGAAACAATTTATTTACTTTGTTTTCAGTGGTTGCATGGTACATGATACATGATATTGTCTGTTCAGCATTGAACAATAGGGCAAGTGAAAATTTGGCAGGATGAGTACAAAATAAAAAGTACTTGCCCTGCAGGAAAAGTAGGGTTGAATTTTTTTTTCAAGCCCTGTTGTATTTGAAGTAGAACATCCTTGACTTGTCCTGCACCATGACGGTGGAATTTATTGTTTTTAGGCATTTTTTTTACTAAAAGCTTAGGCAAGTTTAGATGAAACTAAACCAAGTCTAGTTTGCTTGATTCCACATAACAGCAGAAGAGGAAAGGTTCTTTTGAACATGTTGAAGAAAAAAATATATAATTATTTAAAAAAGAAATGTTTTCATTGACAAAGTGTTAGTCTAATCCTTGAGAAAGTTTAAGGTTTACCAACATGGTAGATAGAACATGTCTGACTGGAGATTACAAACACCAGTCAGCCTGCTTCATTTCATTATCTGCTGACATGCTGGCTATGAGACATACAGACTTTGGAGCCAAAACTGTCACACTCTCATTGCAGATCTATTTAGTTGTACTTTCGGGCCTGGAAACTTGGTTTTCTGATTACCCAGTTAACTTATCATATTTATCAAGTTCAAACAAGTTTACCAAAATAATTAATATGAAGGATGTCACTGTAATATAATAATCTAATGCTATGCATGATTAGCCTACAGCTTAAGTACTGTCGGAAATGCTTTTCTGGCTTCACTTAATAATATGTGGCATAGGACTATAAAAAGAGCATATATGAGAATAACGCAATTCACCTAATATAGCCCGTCCTAACTGACATTGTGATTACCCTTAAAATGTATTTTTACAGGTAAAATGATGATAAACTTAGAAAATACTTGTGTGTTGTCATGCATGTATGAAACAGCCTATAACCTAAGCTAATTACCTAACATCTGTCCCGAGGTGATGACCTCACACCGGCCCGAGTATTTTCGCAGGTGCAAATGTCACCAAATATTGCTGTTATTATACTTAATTGACATGTACGATGATGGGGTAGCAATTTAGGATATGTGCTGCATTATATAAGCTTGGAAACATGATGAAATAGTTCAAATCTCCAAAGTAAGTAAGTAAGTAAGTAAGTAAGTAAGTGAAATAGTTAAAAGCTATGAAACGAGATGAGTATTGGAGTGATGCAGTTTTGGAATTAAGAAGTACTTGTTGTTCTACAGATGGTTTCTTGAGGTAGCATTTATCTCCGCTGATCAACGTATATGAATCTGTACTTTTGAATGTTGTGTTATATCCTGCCACGAACCCTTTAAACTCAGCCAAGAGAGGCACAGCAGGGTTGAACTCACAACGTCTGACTGGCGTACGTAAGACAACGTGACCGTGTTGTGGCGTCAGCACATATGTCTTGTACTTTACTGGTTTCTTATTTAGCCTATTTTCTCCATGAGTTGAACTTTCGTTTCAGATGGTCTGAAGTCAACAATGTCATATATTCCTGTAAGGTCGCCTTCAGACTACTCATGGTTTGAGCGACAGTATCCGATTCTCGGATGTTATATTAACTGGCGTTATCCATGACAATGACACTGACGTTGATTAAAATGGGCAATAGCTGATGTTCCAACCAGTCTATGAACACATCACCTCAATAAGCCCCATATCATGGGTTGTGGTGTGTAAAACAATGACACGATTACCTTCACCTGATGGTACCTTGGTTGCATTTTGTCCATCTGCCGATAGCCACACATACTCAGTGGAATTATTCATCAAGGTACATCATCTGGACGCCCTGACTGTGATAGTTATGAATGGTCCGGAGTTAATGTGACCTCATAGACAGAATGGAATGTTTTCCCCTGAAAACTGGTCGCTCAACGCCACGCACAGTGTATCGGAATCCCATCTCTTGGAGAGCAATAGTTAGTGCAGTCCAGGAAACATTAATTGTATCTATAATTTTCCTCTACTTCAAGTCGGGGTTACCTTCTGATCATAAAGCTTTACACTACACGCCTTATCACCCTGTATCCAAGTTGTCTAATGTCCTTTTGCGTCCTGGTTTTGTTTTTGAGCCCACCCCTATACCTTTTTTGTTTTATTTATCATTCCGTAGACTTCATGGTATGAATTAAAAAACCCATAGCTTGGGCAGTTCTGTAATTCCCCCTATATAAATTAATAAATGGTTTCCCTCTATTTCTCTAAAGTGTAAAGAACTTGTATGCATTTCCTAGTACAGACTCCATGTCATGTAACATGGCTATGCAAGTGTAATGTAACATGCATCATGGGAGCAGTGTTGACAAAACAAACGCAGCGCCATTTTGTCATTTTAGAAGATGCACAACTAGAATTTTCTCCAAATGATTTTTGTGTGTGGATTAAATGTTTTATGAAGACTACATTATTATCTCTGTAACGGAGTTACATGCGCATATTTCTATAGTCCGTTTCAGACTTAAAATAAATATGAACTTCCTGCTTTAGTTCGAATTTGTTGATAGGACTCCTTGTGACTAAAATACTTCAATCCACAGGTAGGTCGATTGGTAGTTACTCGATATTCCAATAACAACAGTCTGTGAAATATTATATCCTTTTTTAACAGGCAAAAGGCATTTTTCTAGCATTTCTGACAGTACTTTAGGCCCAGTGTCTATACTCTTTGCAACAATATAAATAGTTCCTTATTAATTATTTCTTATTAACCTTATTTTTTTTTAGCAACATAAGAATCTCAGGATCCCCACATTTAAAAGATTTAACATATCAATGATGCATGAAAGGGGCAAACATGTGAGAAGAAAGAAAAACATGAACTTTCATAAACAATTTCATAAAAAGAAGAAGAAATTACCAGTTTTAAATGATCATGCTGATATGCATACTGACATTGTCATGCTTCCTGTAATAAGAATGGGATGACAAAGCTTATTTGGCAAATTATTTGGTTCTGAAGGGTCGTCCACATGCAAATCTCGCCTCCACTGGCTCCACCTCGTCACCAGCACCACAACTTCATGACAGTTCACATTACCTTGGGAATCTGTGCCACCGAAATGACAGCGCATCCCATCAACGCGACAACCGTCCAAAGCATCCTTTCCTCAGGGCGTAAACTTGTGCAGTGACAGCCGACCAGCGCTGAAGCGTCACTGTCACATGCGTCACATGACAACATGTGCACGCTTCCCCTGCTTCCGGGTTTATCGCGCATGTCCACACGGTGTGAGGAAACACGAACTGGTTTCTCGAATTCAACATAGAACATTAGGGACAATCTTGAACCGGTTTAATGTGCTTACACATCCGGGATCAGCGACCAAGCTTGTGATACTCCGTCTTCCCCATTTACACGAATTATATTGAATCAATTTCAATATGGCTCAAGTAAGTCACCACATTTTATGTCGGAACGTGAGATTATCTGAAATATTTAAATTAGATTAATAGTATCGATTCTACCCACTGTAAATCCTGATATGCTGAATAAAGAGTCGTCTCGGCCTGAATCTGATGTCTGACTGTGAATTGTCTGATGTTGAATCATGCTGTGATGCACACCAGCTGCACAGATGTCAGCTTTAATGGACTCAATCGGTCAACAAGTTGCCACGTGTTGTTTAACATGCTTACAAACAAGCTTCTTGATTTGAATGCTACCGGCTCTTCTTTTCGAACATTGTCGAATATGGGAGTTTGTTCACGTAGCATTTGAAGAGAAGTCTATGTTCCTCGTGTACTGTTTCATCATGCAAAACTGTCTCCACACGATTTACTCTATACTTTCATTGCAGTGAACATAACACTTGGACAGAACTATTGTCATACACGAGTTGTCTCCAATCAAATTGTCTCCCTTTATCATGTGTCAGGCCCGTACACAAGCAGTTGAAGTCCATTTTACGTTAGTTCCACATTGACAAGGCGAAATAATGACAGATAGAATTTATGGAGTTCATATCGCTTCTTGTTGTTTGTTATTCTCCTGAAAATGGTGGCACGGGTGGCCCAGTCGTACAAAGCGCCGCGATTAGCTGTGCAGAGTTGCGTACCTTGGGCACACCAGAAACCTTTGATTGTTGGTTCGAATCCCTGTCTGACCTGATTATGTTTCAGCACCATACCCATGCTTGTGGGTTTCACCAAAGTGGTAATGTCTGAAGCATTACTTCGTGCTTTCCTCCCACATTAAGCTGACACGCCCTGATGTAACTGGAATAATGTTGAAAGCGGCGTTAAACCCAACTCACTCACTCTCTCGGAAATGTTTTTCGTTATGAACTGTAAATTTCTTATTTAACACGTCAATCAAGTCGTTATTTTTGTCTTCCCGGGGGAAGGTAATTAACTGACTATGAAAGTCCATTTTCCATCCTTGCTGAACTAGGCTGGAATTATGGAGTTAAATTTTGGCTGGACTAATGAGTCTATGAATAGTCCAATCAAAATCGCGTAATGAAATCGACATCCAGTTCGTAAACTGCCGTGCAGATTTTGGTCAATTACAGGATTTTGCAAAGCATGAGTACCGCCAATTCGGGATCAACAGATATTTTCCAAATCTTTTCATGTTTTTAATCAAGGTGCTCACTTGATTTGATGCATTGTGTGAAATAAGACTCATTTTATTACAAAATAGTCTTCACTTGGCGTGGCCATTTTGTGGTATGAGAGGTGGAATCTGATTGGTCGTCACTATTGTATATATTTTTTTAGATTTTGCAAACATGAAATTTCTTTTTAAGTCAGAAATATGTCCCTGTGTGTTAGGTAGGGAAAATTTACGTTTCAATGTTTTACATTTGTAATGAAAGAATATATAAGTATATAACAAATAGGATATTCCATGTGTTTTGTGTAATATCAATGTTCCCTCATCTCGTGACGGGGGAAAAGGAGATGAGAGAAAAATTATTTCACTCGACACATGAAATATCCTCTATCTCTATATCTCCAAGGAGTTATTGCTACAATGAAATTGCATCACACTGCTTTGCAGACCATTATGACATCATCGGTTACCGTAAAGTCACAGTAAAATGACATCACTAATGTCAGCTGCTGAAGCGGGTTGGCTGTGCTTTTTATACTCCAGGCACTGGTTACAAACTGAAATAGATGGAAGAATGATTTTGGATGATAAATAGAATCTCACCTTTGTGTCATCCAAACTCAAATATGTCAAGCCCTGTTAAAAGTAAAAATATCCTCAGCAAGGCTAGGATATTTGTAACTGCTGTCAACTTGTCTTGATATATTCGACCTCAGAAGACACTCTCAATGTGAGATTCTCAATGTCACTACTTTTGTATCCAATTGGGAAACACTTGAACCACTAACAATCTTAATCATGCTAATAATACACCATCCTTGAGCTACCTAACTACACCATGTACATGGCTCCCACAGATTCAGAACACTCCAACCTTATACTTTTGACTATGCATTCCTTGTTTCAGCAAGATGGGTAAGTGAGTGTTCTTTTACGCCGCTTTTAGCAATGTTCCAGCAATATCACGCCGGGGGACACCAGAAATGGGCTCCACACAATATACCCATGTCGGGAATCGAATCCAGGTGTTTGGCATGAAAATATGGCGAAATATGGGAGAATTCTCTCATCACCTGCATCCTTTCAATGACAACAGGGACATTGCTCCACCATTTTCGAGAGAATAACATTTTGGGGGATGTTTACGTTGTTCGTCCATGTCTCGTGTTCTGACCCCTGTACCTGCTGGTTGTGTCCCACAGGTGACCCACGTCTTCACCATGGCGATGACCTGCGAGGGATGCTCGGGAGCAGCAGAGAGGGTACTCAAGAAACATTGTAAGTTGTCTTGTAACCATGGAAACATTTGTACAATTTCATGACAATTCTCAAAAAGTTGATAAGTACCTTTCTGTTGGCCATGTGAATGAGCAGATGGTAAAATATAATATGTTCAATGTAAATTTGCATTGCAGTCTGAATGATTGAACACTAGTGAACATGTATGAACATTGAGTGTGCACATAAAGAGAGTGCTGCCACAATTATGGATATCAGTCAGCATCTCCTGTTCGAATCCTTATCCAGTTACTTTTTGTCGTGTATTGATGCTTAGATGTTTCACTTCATCACTCCACTTGATGTTCTACAGCGGAAAACAGTGACATCACAACAGACTTGGAAACAAAGAAGGTGACAGTGACGTCCACGCTCTCAGCCGACGAACTCCTGGAAATTCTGAAGAAGACTGGCAAGGAAGTCAGTTACGATGGGCCGAAGTAGTAACAGTAGGTGACAATTCTTCTGCCACTTGTCCAGATGATACCATCATCCAAAAATTGCATGGGTCGATGCTCGTGATGTCAATCACTGGATTGTCTGGTCCAGACTTGATTATTTACAGCCCGCCAGCATATAGCTGGAATATTGCTAAGTGCGGTGTTAAACAACAAACAAACAAACTAACAAAACCTTTTCCAGACACAATCATCATTGGTCCAGACACAATCATCCACTAGTCCAGACACAATCATCCACTAGTCCAGACACAATCACCCACTAGTCCAGACACAATCATCCACTGGTGCAGACACAATCATCCACTAGTCCAGACACAATCATCCACTAGTCCAGACACAATCACCCACTAGTCCAGACACAATCATCCACTGGTGCAGACACAATCATCCACTAGTCCAGACACAATCATCCACTAGACCAGACACAGTCACCCACTAGTCCAGACACAATCATCCACTAGTCCAGACACAGTCACCCACTAGTCCAGACACAATCACCCACTAGTCCAGACACAATCATCCACTGGTGCAGACACAGTCACCCACTAGTCCAGACACAGTCACCCACTAGTCCAGACACAATCATCCACTAGTCCAGACACAGTCACCCACTAGTCCAGACACAGTCATCCACTAGTCCAGACACAATCATACACTAGTCCAGACACAATCATACACTAGTCCAGACACAATCATCCACTAGTCCAGACACAGTCACCCACTTGTCCAGACACAATCATCCACTAGTCCAGACACAGTCACCCACTAGTCCAGACACAATCATCCACTAGTCCAGACACAATCATCCACTAGTCCAGACACAGTCACCCACTAGTCCAGACACAATCATCCACTAGTCCAGACACAATCATCCACTAGTCCAGACACGATCATCCACTAGTCCAGACACAGTCACCCACTAGTCCAGACACAATCACCCACTAGTCCAGACACAATCACCCACTAGTCCAGACACAGTCACCCACTAGTCCAGACACGATCATACACTAGTCCAGACACAGTCACCCACTAGTGCAGACACAGTCATCCACTAGTCCAGACACAATCATCCACTGGTGCAGACACAATCATCCACTGGTGCAGACACAATCATCCACTAGTCCAGACACAATCATACACTAGTCCAGACACAATCATCCACTAGACCAGACACAATCATCCACTAGTCCAGACACAATCATACACTAGTCCAGACACAATCATCCACTAGACCAGACACAATCATCCACTAGTCCAGACACAATCATCCACTGGTCCAGACACAATCATCCACTAGTCCAGACACAATCATACACTAGTCCAGACACAATCATCCACTAGTCCAGACACAATCACCCACTAGTCCAGACACAATCATCCACTAGTCCAGACACAATCATCCACTAGTCCAGACACAATCATCCACTGGTGCAGACACAATCATCCACTGGTGCAGACACAATCATCCACTAGACCAGACACAATCATCCACTAGTCCAGACACAATCATCCACTGGTCCAGACACAATCATCCACTAGTCCAGACACAATCATACACTAGTCCAGACACAATCATCCACTAGTCCAGACACAATCATACACTAGTCCAGACACAATCATCCACTAGTCCAGACACAATCATCCACTGGTGCAGACACAATCATCCACTGGTGCAGACACAATCATCCACTAGTCCAGACACAATCATCCACTAGTCCAGACACAATCATCCACTAGTGCAGACACAATCATACACTAGTCCAGACACAATCATCCACTAGTCCAGACACAATCATCCACTAGACCAGACACAATCATCCACTGGTGCAGACACAATCATCCACTAGTGCAGACACAATCATCCACTAGTCCAGACACAATCATACACTAGACCAGACACAATCATCCACTGGTGCAGACACAATCATCCACTAGTCCAGACACAATCATACACTAGTCCAGACACAATCATCCACTGGTGTAGACACAATCATCCACTAGTCCAGACACAATCATCCACTGGTGCAGACACAATACTGACTATGAAAGTCCAGTTTTAACCCTTGCCAAACTAGGCTGGAATTTCTGAGTTATTCTTTGGCTGACCTAATGAGTCATGCATTGTCCAATCAATTGCATAACGAAATTGACATCCTGTTTGTAAACATGGCTATAACCGGACAGATTTCGGTAAATTTTACGATTTGCAAAGCCCATGTACCGTCAACTGGCCATTGAAAGATATTTTCCCAATCTTTTCATGTCTTTGACCAAGTAGCTCGAATGATTTGATGCACTTAGTGGCGAAAGACTCGTTTTATTACAATATAGATCTTGATATTTTTATCCGATCATCTTTGACTGGGCATTGCCATTTTGTTTGAAGGAAATGCAAATGATATGGGAGGTGGAATCTGGTAAATAGAATGGACATAACTTGCAATAGCCACTGTTGGCTCTACGATCGAGCTTTGAAATTCCAGCCTAGTGCAGCAAGAAAGGTAACTGGACTTTTAATGTCAGTGAACTCCCTTGCCTCGAGAAGATGGTTACAAACGTACGTTTTTTTCATCCAAATAGAAAACATTATGGAATTTGTGGAAACAGCCAATCACACACAAGTTTACAGTGGACATATGCTAGTTTGTCCTGTTATTAAATTTCATTTTGTTGTTGTTTCGTTTTTTACTCAATTTGTTTAATGTCACAAATAAGTTCATGATTGTGGGTATTATTGATTTAAGGCAAGTTGTCTGTGAACTGACTGCAGATTGCACCACCTTTGTTTACAGCAGCCGCGACCAGAATATTGCTGTTTATACCCTGAACATAACTTTGTTGTCACAGAATGAATCCTAAGTCACCAATGCCATACACTGACTGCTACTAAGTCCTAGATGTTGTTACTTGATAACTGGAAGTCAATATATTGTGTTGCCACTCATTCTCTCCTTGGTGTTGTTCCCCAGGGTCAAGGCTGAGCGGTGCTGGAGAAGAAGCTGTGTGAAGTGATTCTCCATCGACATCTTCTTTGCTACCATCTCTTGACCTGGCATAAGGATCTCTCACACATACATGTTAATCAGAACCAGTTGTAATTATTGTACCACAAGGCTGTACCCAGGGTATCAGAATAGTCCACTAATGTATCACAATCATGTCAAAGTCAGAAGAAATTGTCAAACAAATCTAGAATGAAATTGATAACGATATTGATGATCAGCTTACAATATTTCTGATGCTTTATCCAGTGAAACACAATGGGTTTCCTCTGTATATAGGATGACTCTAGTGCTGGAGTTCTGTACATAATGAGGGGCGGTCGGGTAGCCTAGTGGTTAAAGCGTTCGCATGTCACGCCGAAGACCAAGGTTCGAATCCCGACGTGGGTACAATGTGTGAAGCCCATTTCTGGTGTACCCCGCTGTGATATTGCTGGAATATTGCTAAAAATGGCGTTAAACCATACTCACTCACTCACTCACTGTACATAATGCTGCCTGTTCTGTAGGAATCCCTGTGTGTACATGCGTCCACCATGATATGTTAAGCACATGGCAAGCACCACTGTACGTGCTCTCTCTCATGTATAATACTCATGGGAGAAAGAAGTAGACACATGTAAACTAATTGCAGCAGTCATATTATCATGATATATATGCTTCCTAGTCTGAGAATGGCGAAGTATGTGAAGTAGCACCGGTTATCTGCAGGGTACATCAGCGTCAGCCAATCCTGTGTGTCAATCTGTCCCCTTTATTTCTTTCCATCAGTATAGTTAAATGGAAAGTCTTCTTATGATGGATATATGTGTTGAACATTCCTACTGAAATACTCCCGGCAGAACCATAGCATGCAGAATGGCTGAAGCATCACAGATGAAGCGTCACAGATGTTTCAAACTGTTTTTAAAACGTTGACAAGTAATTCTGTGAATCTCAATATTGTTCATTTTTGGAGGGAAATGTTATATTTTTTAGTGTTTTATATGATGACAGGTGCTTTACTGATTCCATCATGTTAGCCCTGGCCACATTGGAGTAGCCACAGAGAGTCAAACACCTGGAGTAGCCACAGAGAGTCAAACACCTGGTATAGCCACAGAGAGTCAAACACCTGGTGTAGCCACAGAGAGTCAAACACCTGGAGTAGCCACAGAGAGTCAAACACCTGGTGTAGCCACAGAGAGTCAAACACCTGGAGTAGCCACAGAGAGTCAAACACCTGGTGTAGCCACAGAGAGTCAAACACCTGGTGTAGCATTGCAGCCAGTACTCAGACAACCAAACAGTTGGTTTCAAGCAATCATAGAATTTCAATGGGTGTCTTTAGGATCTTCATCAAACAAAATTTCAAAAATTCTTACACTGTTTATGAAAACTACTTTTTTCATTATTCATCCCCAAATGTCTGTGAAAATGTCCTGGCCTGAAGGATGCGTGTCTGGTTTCAAAGAAGCAACAATAGACGACCATCAGTATGGTGTGGAGCTTTGTTTTTGTTGCTATCTGGGCCATTACAACTCTTTGTTACAGCATGTGATATAAGTGCTATATTTACTGTATGTCTGCATTGTGCTCCCCCTAGTGGACAGTTCAAACACAAGACATAACTCGGTATTTGCAACATCTGCCATTCCCATCGGTTGTGAGGATGTTTTATCTGTCCAGTGTCCATTATCTGTATGCTTGATTAGGTATCTTACAGTATTCATCACCAGCCCTGCCTCAGCATCTACAATTGCTATCATCCAGTGAAAGTGCTATGTATCAGAATTAATAAGTATCTTACGACAGACCATATACGGGTATGTGGTCTCTGATATTATCATATTACCACTATACTGAAGCTGCTTTGGTTACCATATTTGACGTAATAAGCACCCAGGGCACTCTCAAAATTAGAAATAATGGGCGCTTATTAGATTATAATTTTGATGCGTATTATACTTGAATAAATAAGTTTTTGTACACTGAGCATTCG